ACTCAAAACCACCCGCGCCCTTTTATTCTCTCTCTTTGTCATTTAAGCACACCCGTTGCCATGGCAACCGCCACGAGCCGAGCAGGGACAACAACGTTAAAAACATAACATTCAGTCCGTTACGACATTAAGTTTTCAGGATATGAAATGGGAAAAAAGCTTTTTATTAACTGATTAAGTCGTGTTTTAGATTATTCTTGAAAAACTAATCACTCACCGCTGCACAGTGAACCCACTGATTCTTTACAGCAGACAGCCGTTCCCCTCTCTTGCAGGTACTGCGTACCCCCACTAAATCTTTTAGGGGTACGCAGTACCCGACGGTACCTGCCTACTTTCACCCCTGATTAAGACCCACAACTGAATTTTTTCTCATCAGCACTCATCTACTTCTGGATGTATTGCAAAACCTTTGCTAATGAGCCCATTCAAAGTCTTGATATTCATAGCATTTTATCCACGTTTGCTGCCGCTTTCATTTCTGTTCCTCTTACGGCACAAACATGCTCTAAGTGTCCACAAACGAGCTTTCGGAGCCAGAGCTCAAACATCTGAGCACCAACAAGTCTCGTTATGTTCACATATGCCACAAAGAGTTGCTGAGGAGATGTTTGGTTCGCTAACGTCATTCGGGCAACTGTGCAGCTTGCAGCAGCTGCTTGCTGTGGAACAGAAACACTTGACTCTTCTCTTCAGCTCAGTGTTATGTCTGCACTAAGTTTTCCCTCTGCCGCGTCCTCCTTTCCTGTGGTCTCACCCTGACATTTTGACCTCTGCCAGCTCTGCCTCCACCCCTCAGTGTGACATCAGCTACGATCTTTAACTCCTCCAACCACATCTCTCCATATGGAGACAATTACCGCGCCGCGTCGCAGCCGTCGGAGACTGCAAACACATTTCAGCTAAAGTTAAATAAACAGCTGATTACTTCTTCACACTCTTGCGCTGCTTTGGTCTCGAGGGAACCATAATCTATGGTGTTACACACGCCTACATTCAGAATATCATCCAGGGGTGAGAAATAATGGTTTGTAATAATCTCTGTTTATCTCATACGTCTCAAAGTGTGTTTCTGCGGTCAAATGTTCACATCCAAAGGCAGCAGTGAATAATCCCCTGAAACAGAACAAGGTGTGGTAATTATGAGCAATATAGGCGAGAGCTGCTTTTTGAGCTAACTGTTAATGTTGGCCGAAGAGATTCGTGGTTTTCAATGAAAACTGAATTTACGGCACAGCCCCACCAAGCTGATGTCTTTACCCAGCAATTTTAAGAGAAATTGTTCATATAAGCGTGCATTTTAAATTACTCCAACCGACGTAAACGTTTTTTCCTTCTTCCTTTTTACAAGCATCTGTGATATTTAAAACATATTATATGAATCTCCTGCCACAAGCTCTGGCTCTTTTTCTCCCCGGTACTGACCACTGCGGCTCGACCGGCCCTGGGTCTTTTTCTCGAGCCCAACGTCTGCGGTCTGTGGCGTCCATGACCAGAGTGCTCCACCGCAAGAAGCCCTGCGCTTTACAAGCCGCCTGGCCGAGCTTTTCTCATTCATCCCTACAGCTGTAGGGACCGTGGTGATATTTAGGAAGCAGGCAGAAACTGACTCATCGCTGTAAAAGGGCTAAAATGTGTTTATGCGCACACATAACGAGAGCGAGGCACCGAAAAGAGAAACACTGTGGTTCTAACTTGCAGAGGACAGGAGTCCTTTAAACTGCAAG